TGAATATCCCGGCAGAAAAAAATTCCTATGACGTTTTTTTGTTACTGATTACAAGGATGGGTTTTAATGGCTTCATATGGCGCGAGGCTAACAGCTTGTTTTATGTAGGTACATATGTTGGAGAATTGTGCCATGTTTTAAAGTGTCTGGGAACATTAAGATACGTTAGTTAGCAAACGCCGGCGCCATGAATTTGGTGACGCAAAAAGAAATTAACTCTACATGTATCGGAATATTAATCGGGAAAGTTTTAGTTGATCAGGAATACCGCTTATAACAAAAAAACTAATCTTAACCTAGTAATTGCTCTGCGTTTTACGACTACAATGCAATGGCAACTGCTTATCAGCATGCCTCGTCCGCTTTTGATAGATTATGCGTTGCAAGCGCAATTCTTTCGTTATCTCAGTAAATTTAAATAAACTGCAATAAATAAGCACGCGCAAAGTTAGTGGCAATTTGCACGGGGAATATAATCTGAAAGTTTGAATGGAGTGTGGGATAAATGGTGAGAGAATTTTAATGAAATGTAAAAAAATAGATAATCCTGTGATGCATTTTTTCGATTACAAATGAGTAAGTAGAGTATGCGTGTAACCTGTGTTATCGTGCAGCCAAATCTAAAATATCTCAGACACACAAAATGCCCGCGTTTTAAAGCATCTAGTTCGACCGACCGCAAGATCTGGCGTGGCTTAAAGTGATAACCTGCGTCGGACGCATTCCTAACGCTAGACGTCGCAGCCTGTAACACTTGCACAAATATTTTTTTTGAAAAAAAGAATTACAAACAATTTTAAGCGTAATACTCGCAAGCATATACCAATCCTACATGATGTGTTTTAAATTAAACAAGGAAATGTTTTAAAAATAGCATCCAATTCCCGCGTAATCTGCAGAACAATGTGCCATTTCGTTTGCATTTTGTCAAGATATACACTAGAGCAGGATTTCTATCTTCAATCAAATAGTAACCTATACCGTAATAAAAATATAGTACAGGTTATATAAAAGATTTTCAAAGTTCATGCGAAGTATTTATAGTCAGAAAACTGCGGCTGAGGTAGAGCGAAACATTTTTGGCCATTAATGTACCGAACATACTGAAGCATCAATGCAGTATGAAGTCAATAGATTTGGCTTTATGATTATGTACTAAAAGAAAGCGTACTTAAGGACGTGCTTAGAAAATATATTTATTTGAATTCCTAAGAACGATAATGCTTAAGCGAGAATTAGATCCGATATATGTCGGCTTTACTTTTGAGAAAGATTTTGCATGTCATGGAAAGAAAACTGATTTCAATGCCAGCCGGTTGTCAGATATAAATTTCGAATTAAAAATATTAATTGGTCAATATAAGGACCCAACCTTCGTTATTTCCCCCACTCAAAGTGTGGAATCGTTAAATAACTTCATAACCTTTGCGTTGCTGAGCTTATATGTGCCTGTTTCATCTAACGGTGTAGGAAACAATGTGCTCATGCCGGTAAAAATGATAAAACCTATCCATCTGTTATATAGAGAAAAACGTCGTTGGTAAATTACAGCGACCGCTAACCCAATTTCCATTTGCATAACTGAATAAAGAGAGTGATGAGGATCCCTTGCTGCTAGTCCCTATTTAAGCAAACGGCTATGCCCTACATCACGCAGTCATGATGGACGTGAGATTGGCAACGATATTAATTATTTACAATTCCATTTCTCTTACCACGTGCCGTTGTTTCCCGAAAGACACACATAGCATTGACCATTAGCTTTCGTTGCTGAATACCAGTTCGGTCATTCCCCGAACGAAACAAACAGCTTTGACTATGAGCTTTCGTTACTATATGCGCTTTCGTTGCTGAATCCCACGTCGGTCATTAAGCTGAAGATGTAAAAACACTATGTTTTGATTATAAGAAAGGTTGCTCGTAATTGAGTTAAAAATACGTTACTTAAGTAAATGTATCTAGAGTTGATAATCAGATCCCCATAGTTATACAAAATATAAACAGTGTAAAAGATAACTTGGTTTTTATTTGTGACACGGGTTGGCATTAGTCGTCATCTCTATGCCACCTGAGTGAAAACTTCGACGGGTCATGAAATTTAAACTCTTCAAGGATGGCAAATGCATAATTTGAGTGAGGCTTATCTTTATTTTATCGTAGAAAACTAATTCTAAGTAACAAAAATAAATGTTCATTTATCAAATGGGTCGCCTGCTTTCTGATTGCTTAGTAATTTTCACGAATTATACACGTCAGGACAGGATAGGAATAAGAAATCATGTTTTTTAGGACTTAATCCATATGAAACTGTTCGCCCACCTTCCCTTCATTGCAGGGGCTCTAGGTATTAACTCAACGAAGGTACTATCTGTTATTTTGGTTTAAGAGAATTCAGCAAAATACATTGTAAAATGCTTCTAATTTATATTCTACTAATTATGTTTTTAAGCTCTAAATGCAACTTATGTTCCATCCCGAAATGCACCTTTAAAATGACTAAAAGAAAATGAACGGGGAATTGCAACGGATAAAAATTCAGGACGGCGAGAAGACAGAGTAAATACTTAAGATTTAAGATTAGTTAAGTCTTTAAACTGCATGAAATTTTGACTTAATTAATAACGTATGAATTGCAGCTCGTCAATGTGATGCGAAGTGAACGTTATGGCATATAAAATGTAATTTTGGCGCATATTTTAACGTAAAAGCAGCAATCTTGGCTTTGGTGGATTTCGCATCATTTGTTATTTAATTTGCCACTTGATAGAAACCTACCGTAACAAATGCGTTGGCTATTCTATGAAGTGGGCGCGTATGTCACTTCCCCCTTTGAGCACAATTCCGTCCCAATGCAAATAAATTTTTTTGATGCGTCGAAAATGTTGTTGGGCTATAGTCGTGTTCCAGTTAACACTGTCAAGTAACTGATGGCAGAAAAACTTGGTGAAATTGGTACCTTATCAAACTGGTAGGAGAAAAATAAGTTTATCTTTAATCAACCATGGACCAATTTGTCATGTTTGGAGGGCGTTTCCGACAGGTTTAGTGCATGCTTAGAGTAAGGTTTGCCGTCAGCCGCTTATCAACTGTAACATAGCTAGGCGGACAGCTATTTACGTTACCTACTTCACAGGTCACGAACAGCCGATATGACGCTAAGATTGAATAACGCGAGATAACGAATAAAAAGTCTGCATGTTTGCAGTGGACATGGCTATCTAGAACAAAGAAGACGATATATTAAATGATGTCCCAATGGTTTTACTGATCAACCCAAATCATCCAGGGATATCATCTTTCCAGGTGTCTTGCATTCTTCACTAATCAGAAAGTACATATTCTCAATCAGTACCAAAGCAGAAGAATTTTGCACACATTCCCAGGACTGCGATTCCCCTGACGTAAGCATAATAAGAAGTACTTTATTGTATATTACATATTAATTTGCGTTCTTTCCAAACGCCTATCGATTCTTTTGTGTACGTTATGATTGCTTGCTTTCTAGGCTACTTGTGGAAAGTGATATATAATGTTTTTAGGTGGCAATGTACCATCTTTTACGGTTGAAACATAACCTTGCATGCACAGTTAACACGGCGCAGTCTGATGAGACCAAGTTTAAATCAGCTCTCCTGCACCGCTAGCAACAAACTACCTGACCATTGCGCTGCGTTTAATAATTATGTTTTTTCTGTGGCAAAATTTTGTGCGTTTTAATGTTTTAACTTACAGCAGCATGTGCAGGATTAATAAGATATCTTTATACTCACGGATGAAGGCCAAGGTGGCAATTCCAGCCATGCTTATGAATGATAAGGAAAATAGTTGCTACACTACTTGGCTCCTAAGGTTAGTTTTCTTATCCCTCGAACGTTGAAGTTGGCTAAGATAAATATATCCTAAGCTGGAATACTTTTTGCCTTCCTTATCAATAGCACTGCCTTTATGCACTCCTAACCCGAAAAAAACGTGTATTATTCTGTAAAACAGGGAAACTGCTTTCATTTTACCATTGTTGAATAAAATTCTTTGTACTTAAATTAGTGTTTTATTTTGCTCAGCAAAATGTATTCAGGTGCTGCTGCCGCTTCTAGTTGTAAAATATTTTTGTTGCATCTGTGCACCATATTTTATTCAAAATAAGGGGAAAGTGTAAGTTATGGTTAAGGACTTCCCCTTCTAGCGTAAGCTTGCATTCCACCGAGACCGTTCATCCTTTCCCAATATAACTCAAATGAATCAAGCCAAAGGGCTGATATTGCTGTTTTTATAATGTTCAGTGAACCAGCTGAACAGACTGTGTGCTTTTTGTTTACCTTAAACGTGCTCATCTGCGGTTTATTGTTCGCAAGCGTCTGACGCGAAGGATAAAAAAGTGCACGCAGATATTTTACCTGAATATTATAGCCTATTAAACGTAATGACTGAATGCAACTTGTTCCCCTGAGGAAAAACTTTTGTGGCCCCTATATATGCACATCTTGTGATCTGGATATTTGTTTTCACTTACCCTGTATTTTCTCCCTGAATATTATTTGCCCATCATATATGATGTGTATTCTTTTAGTTGTACCTATGATCTCGGTGATGTTCTACCATAAAGTCAGCTAAATGGCTTCGACTTTACTTACTTTAACATGATTCCAAAAACGTTATCATAAATCTTTATAAACATGCGAGTTTTTACAACAATGGATGATGTTGAACACTCAAAGAAAGCGTCCGTTTGCATAAGAGGCATGTTCGTACACTTATACAGGTTAACTTAATACAGTTTGTGCATTTCCAGACTCCTTTGATATGATAACACCAAACAGGGCAGATGCCTTTAATTAACAACGATGTATTACGTTACTGCATCTTTCCAGAATAATTCAATTTTCAAGTTACGTTTGCGACTATTAACCAAAAAACTGTTTTAATTCTGTATGTAAATGAGAAAAAAGCAAGCTGCCGCTATTGAATTTAAAAACATTGCCTGAGCATACACGTTTGCTTACCTAACAAGACCAGTTGGGAGAATTGCAATGAGGCTGACGGCATCAGTAATCGAAATTACCAACATGTAATAATAGACCGTTGCGTTGAAGCACTTGTTTGAGAACACAACAATGTTGATGAGGTTGAGTATTATGCCTGTGAGGCAGACAATTGTCATGATATAGAAATATCCTATGAACTCAAACCGGGTGAAAAGACAGGGTGCGAGAGCTGAGAAAATGCCTGACGCATTTGTAGTATTGCCTAGTAGCGTGCCACGCTGGACGCGTGATTGGGAAATATTTATCGGTAAGAGAGTCACAAATTCCATTACTGACATTTCGTTTTTCTTTGGGTCATAGCATGCTTCGGCAAGTCCGTAGTCCAGATTTTTAACGGCAATTTTGGAACAGCTATGAATGCTATTGGGTTACCTGCGTGCTGTAAAATGAGCAACCATAACACCGTTGGCCGGACGGAAAGACCGTCAGCCAATCAGAAAATGACCTTCTTCGAAACACAAACCGCATATTTGCCACCCAAACTAAGCCTTGCAAATGCCATTTTTTCAAGATAAATCTAACAAGGAGTGCTGGGGCACTCCAATGCATTTTATTATTGTAAGAATTAACAGGCGTTGGATTTTGCTTTAGAAATATCACGGACTCTGTGACGCGGTATTGCACGTATGAAGTAAGAGGGGATAATTAATTTTGTTTCACGTTTTCAGTTTATGCGGGTGTTGATTTTTAAAAATGAAGGACCACTTAAACTGGACACGGGAACAGAAATAGCCCAAAAGTACACGTGGATATGCGCCGATTGAAAGGAAAATTAGGTGAAGATTAAAGTTAAGGCTTCGGTTTAAGATCGAGCTTGGATAAAAAATTGGGTGGGAATTTTGTTTTTTGTTACCTGCAGGTGTTAGATTTACGTTCGACCCGGGAGCAAGATTATGGCTACGGTTAAGGAACCACAATTATGTACTTTCCCTGGAAACTGTCGCAAGGCCCCTTTTTAAGCGGGCGGGTCGTTCCTATTCTAACATACTTTGTAAGTGGCCGTATAGGTCATTGTTGCCCAAACACCTAACCAATGGTCGTGCAGAAATGACAACCTGGATTTGTAATTATTTCAAATGGAAACAAGAATGGAAGGAGGAAAGGCATGCAGTGGAACAAGGTTTGGCTTAGTGAATTCGCAATTAGAACCCTTCACAAGAGGCAGTCACAGAATATGGTGTGAAAAACCCAACGTAATGAACTCGTGTGCCATAAGTTCCAACGATCGCATTTTCTCCTTCCAGACTGCATCCTCGAACTCGGCTGTTCCTTTGAACCCGTTTCTGCTATTTTCTGTGTTCAAAGATGCGTGAAGGATTTTGAAGATCAAGCGAATATTATGCTTGTAGTACCGATCACTTCCACCTATTCTCAATAAACCACTATTACAATACTGATAAGAAGGTGCACAATCTCAAACACTTTTTACTGACTTCCATATTTACTCAACTTTTTTTTGCGATAGGTGGTGTGGATGGATATTAATGGTATCTAGCTCATAAACACTTGTCTTTTTGTAACCAATAGTAAACGATAATCAGAGACTTCGCAACTAGGACGCATATGTATAATTGTTTAAATTATTCACTTATTTTCGACGCCATTATGTCGATCGCATCCTCTCCGTCTGAAAACTTTTCTGGAACTCGCTTGTCCACTTCTATCAACAAACCAGTGTCTACGTACTAATGGTATGTCCCACGGAGCTTAAACGTTCCACGTTACATTTCAGTATCTATTTATATTTTTGAAATATAAATCGCGCGGATGCAATTTGCTGATGTCTAGGTCATAAATACTTCTCTTTCATAACCAGCAGGGAATTTGCAAATACCGTGCATAGGCATTTTTGTTATAAATACTTCATACTTTTCGGCGCCATTATAGATGAGGCCATAATTGTTGCACAAGGGGGTAATTGGGCTACCGCATGTTTGGCGCACTTTTTCCTCCATAAAACGACAATAAAGTCACAGAACCGCCTTTATTTTGTACAATGATGAATGAACATTTCTGAAAATGCAAAACGCGATTAGAATGACCATTTGCGGTCCAGTATTCGTCATCAGCCTGCAATCGTCAACTCTATGCGTGACACCACGTGATGATGGGAACCGCAAGCTGATGATTAGAAATCAAACGCTATAAACCTTGAACCACCGAACCTATGCCTTACCAGTCTGATGTGGGAAGTGGACAGGATGGCAAGGCAGGAGGAGTGAATGTCGTTAAAAACAGGTAACTGCTAAACAAACATTATTACTACATTTTGGGCTGGTAAATAGCTCGCTGATGCGCTTTGGTATTTATAATTTTCCTGACCTTTACACAAGTCCTTTTGGCACAACCTATTTCACCTAATGTGGTGTCTTGACATTATCGGTGGATACACATACTTGGCGTATGTAGAAGCATTCACAAAAAGGAGGGTTATAGTTATAGGATGTTTTTCTGTCCTATTCGGCTATTACCGCAAGTGACCAGGAGTTCATATTTTTGCTTGTTTTGTTTTATTTGTTTTGCAGCTTAGTATTAAACCCACGCGTTTGCGCAGCAATACAGATAATTCCCTATCCTATGGCCAAATGTTGCGCGGTTTTTTGTTAGTATGCGCTTCCGAAAGAACATATTGTTCGATATCCACTGAAATAAATTAAAACACTTATAAGTCTCTCTTTACTGCGTGGCCTCTTATATGAAAATGCTATCTTTCTGTAAACCATGTAATGCTGACCATCTAAACATAACATTTATAATTTTTAAGGGGTACCCAGATAGATCTGGTAGGTAAAACACACAGAGGTTAGAATGATATTTCAAGGTAATTAATATATATTTTTATATACTGACAGGGTAATAAATTGGTGCACTGGTCCTAAAGCATTACCATGCACCCATTGCGACTGAAGCTCCCCGTTTAAGTGGCTTCATAAATAGGAGGGTGCAAACATCTGAGGGATCCATGAATATCTGACACTCATTGGTGAAGGTTCACCTACCTCAAATGGAACTATTTTGTGCCATTCTGTCTTAAACTTCCTTGACAGTTGTCGTACCAGCTACTCTTATAGGCTGATAGTATGACCGACAAAGAAAAAGAAGACTAGAATGACCATTTTTGACTTATTAGCCGCCATCAGCCAGTTATACCCAGCCCCAAATGGTGCACTTCTTCCTATCTACCCATACTACTCTCCGCTACGGCTGCAGTCGGTGCCCGCAAAATGAGGTTCAAAGGTCGCCAGTTTGAGATTCGGATGGTGCCCCCAGCTGGGGCTGAGAATGACTGACTGACGATGGCCAAAAAGTCAGAAATGGCCATTCCCGTCTCCTTTCCTTCGCTGGTAATAGAACTACTCTCATCGGATCGCTATGTTCCCGTGAATACAGTTATATTCTGGTTCCTATGTACTTTGGTGTTGATCTGTCTATTCCAGAGTTATCTTTAGAAATAACAGGTTGAACATTAAGAGGTCAAGGTGAGTGGTGGAAACCCGCTCCAGAGTTCGCAAACATACCCTTGCAAATTCAAGTTGCTTTGCAAAACTTGGCTACCAAACAAATGTAAGATGGATTTGATATTTGCGTACTATGATTCATTTCTGACACTGCCTCAGTCAATAACATGAAACAGACATGATGCATCCCAGCTGCCATTAATGTCAGATGTGATATGCCAAACACACTCTGTGGAACTGTCAAGCCAAATCTTGTTGCGTTGCAGTAGTGTAGAATATATTGCGTTTTCGGAAACGCGTACGTGCAGTAGGCGGGTTACCCTGGAAAGGAGGGTTACCCGTTAGCCAAGCTACCCGGCGCGTCCACGGGTGGCGGATAGTGGCGCGGCCTTCAGTCAAGGTTAGCTGTGAAATAAGCAGGCTCCCGGGTCTGGCGAATAAGCAGTCGC